CTGCAATGAAGAAGCCATTTAACTTTCTTTCATCGGGTGCTTGCAAAGTCATCTGATCATGGAACCATTTGTTGATGTAAAACCTGTAAGTTGAATGAAACACATTTTGAGAAATGCTATATAAAACTTGCATTAGTTGAGGGATATAGAAGAACAATATATATGCTGAAAAAGAATTTCAGTCAAGTTCATAGATTGTTGAGCAAGAGCTCTGCAGAGATATCCCTATAGACACTTGTGTGACAGTCCTTATAATCGCCCACAAAAGATTCTTTGTGGCTATTGGCAGGGATGGAATAGTATGCCGGGCTGGCCAGGCTTTTCACTCATTAGGTTCTTTCTTAATTGTGAGAGTATGGATGAGTGTGTGTGTATGTGTGTGGCCTGGAAGACAATCAGATGGCTTAAAAAAAAGGAAAAAGTATTGGGCTAACAGTCAGAAGGCAGGAAGTATTTTTGGCCTTTATCATGGATTTGTGATGTGACATCTCCGCTCTCTTCCTCCACTGGTCAGGGTGGGTGTCACTATGTAGACCTGCATCCGTCTGTTGTCACGTAGGCCTGAAGGACCCAGCAGTCCTCCCTGGACACTTGGGACCTCAATGAATGCTATCTGAAGGTGAAGGGCAGGGGAGGAAGAGGTTGTCAGGCTGATGACATAATGTCTAAGTGTTTGGGTCACCTCAGGAGGAGCAGAGTGTTGGGTACAAAGAGCCATGTCACTGCTGAGGGAGTTGTGGATGACTGTGAAGGACTGGTATACAGCCTACAGAATCCTGATAGGCCGTGCAGGATGCTGGTGGTGAGATTTTTCCTGTAACAAAGACCCTTTGGCTTGATAATAGAAACTCTCTTGAGCTACCTTAAGAAAAAATATTTGGGGTAGATATTTGAGCATATGATGGCATTTAAACAAATTGAACAGCCCAATCTTAATAAACTTCAGAAGCATGACAGCTTGAGGTATCTGCCTCTAACTCTCAGGTTCTGTGAGTTTCAGCTCTCATTTGGGATAAATGTCTATGCCAGTCCATCAGATAGGACACATCCGGTTGTTCAGGAGAGAGTGGTAATACCTTGATCTCAAGGAAAGTTGGTCCTCTCTCCAGCCCCAGGGGCTGAATCATTGATAGTCTAAATCAGTCACAGTTATCTAATTGTCCTTTGTCAGTAGCTGGTCTAGAGGTGGCCATGTGACTCAGGATTAATGTAGGAGATGTGAGTAGGAAGAGGCTGGATATGGATGCTGGAAAAGCTTTTGTCTTCTCAGTAAAAAAGGAATGCCAGCATCATGTGGCATAACTCTTTCTTCCTTTGCTTTGCCCTTCTCTGGCATTCCGACATGATGGCTGGTGATGCAGCAGCCGTGTTGTGACCATAACGTGACAAACACCAGAAGAAATTTGTGTGCTAGGAACAGAGTGTGCAAAGGAGAAAGAGCAAGGTCCTTCTGTGTTTGAGCTTTCATACCAACCCTAGACCAAACACCTCTTGTACTTGAGAAAAATGATACCTGGTATTGAAATCACAGTGCACTACATATAATATACTAACAACCAAAATCTCTAAGTGAAAAGTTACATAGTATAAATACAGATGTCAGGAGCCAGCCCCAATGATCAGAGTAGGAGTCTCAGCTCTTTAACAGGAAGAGATATTCAAAAGTGTCTAGGAAAGCCACCCTGGAGCCTCGAGACCTCACCACGGCTGCAGAGCACAGAGAGGGAAATCCTCTTTGTGCCAGTACACACCTGTCCTAGATAGAGTTAATCAAGTCGTGTTAACTAATTGTACTAATTTTATTAATCCCATGTTACCTGTCAGATATTTTCCCCAGTGCTGTGGACTGACTGGAGAGGGTGGGGAAGATGCTGGCTCTCGTTTCCCTACAGGGAGAAAAGGCAATAAACAAAAATAAATGAAGTGAATCATTTGAGATAATGAGAAGTTCTGTATGAAACAGGAAAGGAGTATTGCAGTGGGGGGAGTTGTGGGAGGGGTGTGTGTGGCCTGAGACTGTGATATTTGATGTGAGAGTTGAGTTGTGGAAGGGGGCCAGCTGTGTAGACGAGACCAGGCTTCTTGAGGAAGAGGAACAGGCCCCTGGGCAGGAATGAGCGAGGCCTGCTAGAGACAGAGTGAATCATTACCGGGCGTCCGCGGTGAGGGGATGCGGGAGGCCGCCCATGCTCATCGCATCATAACCGTTCCGGCCACTCAGCCCACGGCCTTGTGAGGCACCTCCAGGCTGCTGACGGGGCTTCCTGTCACAGGTGGCTTTCCTGTCCTCTGCTGCAGGCTCTGAGAGCCCAGGGAATGGGATGGCTGGGGAGGGTCTGCATAATAGACCGGGGTCAGGGTGACTGACCCCCTTTCCTAACGAGAATGGACCCGTCACGCTCAGCTACCACACTGAGGCTCCCCAGGGGCCTGGCCTCCTTGGGAAATGGCATCAAGCCCATTCTGGAAGGACTGGCAGAGAGTTGAGCAGGCACACAGCTGTTTCAGCACCACGCCCCAGTCACCAGCTGGAGTTACAGTCACCACACTTGACCTTTTTCCCTGTGGAAAGGCCAATGCAGTGAGGCAGGAAGCCTGGCAGGGCCCCCCCCCCCCCACTGTGACTCCAGCCTGTCATGACTGGTCATGGCTGACATCATCTTCAAGTGATACTTATCAGTGAGGCAGTCACATGAAGTCATGAGGCTAGAAGCTCCCTTAGAGTCCTCCTGCCCTGCATTCCCTTATGTATCTGGCATTGCCCAGAACAAAAGTATGAGGTGCCTCCTCCCCAACTTCTAGCAGGTTGCCAGCTGAACCAGATATTCATCTAGTTCCAGGAGAGATTCCAATTCTCTTTCCTCTAATACTTGAACTCGGGGGCAGTTAGAACCGTGGTAATTAGATCCTTGGGCTGTTAGATATCCTCTGGGGTCCTATGTCATTAATAGGCCCCCAGAAATGTAATGAGTGTTCACCTTAGGAAGGCTAGCTGGCCCAAACTACCATTTAGAAACCCTGGTTCAATCACAAAATATCAAAATGTAGAAGAGACTCTGGGGGCTAATACCCCTCAAGATTGGGAAAAGGTGGGGAGATGACCTGACCAAGGCTAATATTCACACTACAGAGAAAGGCTCTTTGAGGTGCACCTGGATGACTCAGTTGGTGAAGCGTCTGCCTTCAGCTCAGGTCATGATTCTGAGGTCCTGGGAATGAGTCCCGCATCAGGCTCCCTGCTCAGTGGGGAGTCTTCTCTCTCCTCCTGCTCACATATTCTCACTCTTTTTCCCTCTCCCTCTCAAATAAATAAAATCCTAAAAAAAAAAAAAAGGACAAAAGCTCTTTGAGATCCACATAGATCTTTCTCAGATGTTCACAGCATTTTGTTGTAATGTGCTGCCTTGACATGCACAAAGAAAAAAAACAAAAAACCCACATGTCACCGATGTGTATAAAGCTCTTTGCTCCTCTGTCTGGTTTGACCATTCTATGTAATGGGCATTCATTTTTTCCCATTTTACAGACAAGGAAAGTGAAGGAAACGAATCCATTTAGTAAGTAGCAGAAGTGAACTCAAGCTTAGGCATTCTTTTTTGTTGTTGTTGTTTTTGTTTTGTTTTGTTTTTATAGCATTTCCAAGTCCATCTCTGCTTTTGTCCTCTGGGGGTCTAGAGACAAAGCAGAAATTAGCCGTAACTTAGGCAAGGTGGGATACACAGCATGTGTCCTCAGGTGCTAGAAGCAGGTGTCCTCGGGTGTTAGGAGCAGGTGTTCTCAGGTGCTTGAAGCTCTAAGGAGAGGATTCTGAATTTAGTGAACCACCCTCACCTTGGCAGGTGAATACTTCCCTATTAGAGCCCCTGTATCTGAGGCAGGGGCCCCATGGATCCTAACGTAACTTAGTACTGTCATCTACTTACTTTAAATGCCACTTTCCAGACACAGTGTGGCACATAAAAGCCCAAGCCATAAGAACCCGCTGGCTCTGTCCATAATCCTGGCTTTAGCACTTACTCCAGGTGACCGGAGACCTCTATCTCTTCACCTTGTGCTGTCTTAATGTTCTTACTTGTAAAATGGGGGCTCCCAGTAGTACCTTCCTGGGAAGGTGGTTGAAGACTAGATGAGGTAACGCATTTAGAAGAGGAAGTGCTCAATAAATGTCAGTGGCTGCTCTGTTTGCTCTGCACACCACGGAAGGAATTCTTTCACAGATCTGAGTTTTCTCTGGCAGCTTGAAAAGAGTTGGTTCACAGTTCCTGACAACTGGTAGGCATCCCAGGGTGAGCAATATATAAAGATACACTCACGTACAGTTCACAGCTTGACTCTGGAGAGTGATGTGTTGCAGACCCTCTACTACAAGGGTATCTTCTCTGTGACTGTCTCTCCTCCACCAGCAGAAGGCCTTGGCTGGCCCACCTGAGAAGCTAAAGCTCATCTGGAAGTTATGTTTACAGAAAAAAGACAAGAGCCTCTTATGTAACTTGCAGAGTACGAAAGATCCAATGATAAAAACCACTGCTCTGAACTTTTCCAAGGAGCAATAAATCCCTGCTTACGATTCTCCGGTCCTTGGCAAGGCATCCTTTGTCTGGTTTTTGTAGACTAGGAAAAAAGTTAATGAACCCACTCCCATTAGGTTGTGTATTTGTGCTTAACAGCTATAAAAAGGCTACTATTTCAACTTACTCCTGTCATCTAAAATACGCCCCATGTTTGTTTTATGGTTTCTCAGAGATACTCTGACTTGAATTTGATCGCTTCCTGTGATTTTGTGTATTCCCTCATGCAAAGCTGATTCTCCATCTCCCCTGTCTCGTTTTTTGCTTATACTTTTTTTGTTTAGATCATCTCTCTACTGACCTTTCAGTGGCTCAGCATTTTTTTTTTTTTCAGTGCATGAGCAGGGCTGGAAAACAGAGCCAAGATACAAGCTGTGAAACAACAGCTCACCCTCACAGAGTGAGAGAGCTTTGTGCTATTTCTAGCCAGAGCAGATGTGGCCGGGGTGGGCTATGGGGAGCAATCTCTCTCAGGTAAAAATAAATTATTAAGATTAGGACCAAAATGATGCAAATCCTTCATTCACAAACAGATCATGAACTGGGAGCTGTGTGGAAAGACAACTGGATTGGGAATCAGGGTCCTGCCCTGGGTTTCTTCCAGATTACCCTACCGATCAGCCATCTGGTCTCGGTGAGTACATGTGACTTACAGTACTTTTTTTTTTTTTTTTAATCAACAAGAAGTAGGGATAATGCTTTAACAAAACTGAGTGCCACTACTGAGTTCCAGGCAACAATCCTAACATTTTGACCAGCTCATTTCAGACCTAGTTGAGTATTTGGTAGATTCCTTGATCCCATTTCCTTTTCCCCACCACAGATATGAACAGTGTCCTGAATCTGCATACTTCTGTAGACACCAGCATCTTGCAACACTAGGTACTGGCATTCTGCATGTTTTAAAGCCTTAAATAAATGGAAGCGTACTTTATGTTCTGCAACTTGCTCCCCGCCCCCCAATTTGACATTAGATTTCAGCAACATAGCTCTGGTCCATTCGTTTTAACTGCTCTGTGGTATAATGTTTCGTGGACAGACCACCATATGTTTATCTATCCTCCTGTTGATGCACAATTAGATTACTTATAATTTTTCAGTATTATAAATAATGTTCCGGTGAGTGTGTTATATAGTCCCTATACTAATGTACAAAAGTTTCTCTAAGATAGCCTTTTTTTCAAGATGTTTTGTCTACACACACAGTTAAAGATACACTTTACGCAGACTCTGAGCAAATGTGTTACATTTGTGTGTGTACACATATATGTAGAATTAAAGTTTTCTCAAAATAATACCCTATTTCCTTATTTTTTTAAATGATTTTACTTATTTATTCATGAGAGACACAGAGAGAGGCAGAGACATAGCAGAGGGAGAAGCAGACTTCCTGCGCAGAGCCCGATGCAGGACTTGATCCCAGGACCCCGGGATCACGACCTGAGCCAAAGGCAGACATGAGCCACCCAGGGGCCCCAATACCCTTATTTTCTATTCAATTACAATCCAGTTTAGCCTGGTCTTTAAAAAATGTGCTGGTTACAATTTACTGAAATGATCCTCTGACCCATATCCACTAAGAATTGGATAAATACTGTCCTGAGACATGTGGAATTGTTGAGTTGTAGGTTATACCCAGTTTCAAGTTGATTTATTAAGTCTTTGTGAGTTCCTTTTATGCAGTGAAATGGATATTTGCATTTAGCAAGCATTCTAGCTAAAGAAGGAGGCTTTCTAGATTCCAGAAGGAGGCTTTTCAGGTCATTTCGTGTGTCCTATGGCTGGAAAATGGAATTTCTGTTTTAACTTTCTGGGCTTTTAATTTTTCATCTGTCACTACGTGCCAAAACAAAATAAAAATACTAGACTCTTCAGTATTTTGCAGACTGCTTTCTCTTCAGCCCCCAGGGCCTGGGGAGGCTTCAGGATCTGCCACAATGTGTGTCAGTTGGGAACAGAGGTTAGAGCAGGGAAGGGGACAAAATGAGTAGATGGACTCCTGGGCCTTTCCCCATAGTTCCTTCCAAAGGATTCCATGTTGGTATCTCTCCATTGTATTTCCATTAGATTTAATTGGGGGGGAATAAAAAGGTACACAGCTTGAAAATATCCTTAAACTATGGCTTTAGATGCTCTCCAAGGCTCTTTCCAGATCTAAACTTGAATTAAAATAACTCTGGAGTCTCTGGACCATTTAAACTAGCAGCCAGAACTAAAGAACGAGGCAGTTTAGGGTGTAGGGCTCTGGTAAGCCATGTGGGCCCACTTAAAGGGCACCCTGGCCCTCTTGCCACCATGGGTGCTGACGTGGACACGATGGTCTCAGGCCTGAAGGGCAGTGAGCCCAGGGCACTCTCTAGCTGCAGGTGCCACCTTGGGGCCAGTCATTTCTCTTCTGTCATCTGACCTTCATCCACCTGAGGCTGCTCTTTGAAATTATTCTCTCTTCATCCTGTTTGTTCATTCTGTGAATAAGGGCCTACTATACATTTTTTTCCAAGCCCCATTTCTGCCCCAGACTGTCCCACGTGCTCACGATGAAGCTTATTTGTCCCGTGGGGCACACATCCAGTTAAACCATTATAGTCACAGAGATGAAATTTTATTACCAGTTTCAAGACACTATTCAGCTCGCAGGTTTATTTTTGTCTTTCCAAATATAGTAAGGTCATACAAAGAAGAAGAAGAAGGAAAAAAAAAAAAAAGACTAGTAGTGAGTTGGTAGTAAAGTGACTTCAGGGTGAGCAGATGTTAACTGATGTAGAATCATGGATTCCTTCCTTACTAGGCTTGTTTTCTGTCTGGCTCTCCACACCTCCCGGGGCCTGGATGTCTGCCTCCTCTTGGATTGCAGCCCTTCCCTTCAATTGGTCATGCTTGCATTTCGTCTTCGTTAATCACTGTTTTCATCACATCACTCCCAGGCTCAGAAACTCCAGGGATCTTCATTTCCCCACCACGTGAAGTCCAATCGTGGCTGCCTGTTTTCGAGGCTTCCCCTAATCTGTTCTTACCTCTCCGCCTGTGTTTCCCTTGCCAGATGTGGTTCTGGTTTCTGTGGCTTAGAGATAATGGAATCGTTGGACACACATCACCACCCATTCCCACCCACTGCCGCCCTTGCCAAATTTGAAATCTGCATCATTTTTCTTAAGTACAGTTTAACCTCATTGCCTTAAACAAAAGTACACATATCAGTAAGGGTTTCTTCCCTCGCCCAGTGGCCACAGCAGTGGGGTCGCCAGGCCCTCTGGGGACAGCAGGTGCAGGGGAACAATTTATCTCCCTCTGTCCCTCCATATCCTACAAGAAGATGAGGTAGAGAAAGGTTATTTGACTCACTAAAGTTGTTGGTGAAAAGCTCTGCCGGTTTGACACAAGAGGGAGAATGCGCACAACTTAGGAGACAAATATGAGAGATAATAAACTTCAAGACAGGAAGGGCTGGTTCAAACCCTTGGAGATAGGTCCCCCCTGTATAAGGCAAAACTCAGCAGGTCACTGAGCCCCGGAAAAGATGCTGTGGGGGCTGGTAAAGGAGACTCCAGAGAAGCTTACCTATTGGGGCGGGGTTATCACATCTGCAAATATAGTTTCTTTCCAACTTTTTATTTATTGTGTGTGTGTGTGTGTGTGTTTAGTGGCCATGTCCTTTGTTTTCCTAGAATGATTTCTTTAAGTCCTCATTCTTCCACTTAGCAGCTAGATGATTGGGGATAAGTTTCTTTATCTATAAAGTAGACGTAATAATGGTACATAGTATATGGAGTTGTTGTGAGGATGAATGAGCTAATGCATCTAAAGAACACAGAACATGGCCCAAGACAAAGATATTAGCTATTATTCCTCTCATCGTAATTATTATAAGTACCTGTAAAGCTGCTCTTAATTTGAGCAGCTGCTGAAATTCCACCTTCTCTCAGAATACCATCAGGTCACTTCAGTTGAGCAAACGTTTACTGAGGGCTCAGGGCATGCTGAGCACTGACAGGACACATGTGGACCTTGCCGTTGGGTAGCTTACCTTCTAGTAGGGAAGGCAAACCTGTAAGTAGATTATTTCAGGTTTTTATTTTTAGAGCTAGAGCATGCATGGGTGCGTGGGAGGGGCAGAGGGAGAGTATCTTAAAATCTTAAGCAGTCTCTACACCCAGCACTGAACCTCACTGCTGGGCTCCATCTCACAACCCTGAGATGAGCTGAGCCAAAATCAGGAGTTAGACGTTCAAACCGCCTGAGCCACCCAGGCACCCCAGATTCTTTCAGTTTGGACTGGGCAGTCTGATTAGTCCCTATTAGCCACATGTAGCTGCTGAGACTAAATTGAGATATTCTCTCTCTATAAAATACACATTGGATTTTTAAGACTTGGTTTGATAAGAGAACACAAAATCTCTAATAATGACCAGGGTAGTCTTGATTACCTATTGAAACCATAACACTCTGGGTATGCTGGGTTAAATAAAATACATAATACAATTTTTTTTATTGAAGTATAGTTGACACACGATGTGCATTGGTTTCAGGTGAGCAACACAATGATTCAAGAAGTCTGTGTTACGCTGTGCTCACCACAAGTATAACTTCCCTCCGTCACCATAGGATGCTATCACAATACTATGACCATATTCCCTATGCTGTAGCTTATACCCTTGTGGCATATTCATTCCATAACTGGAAGCCTGAACCTCCCACTCCCCTGCACCCATTTTGCCCATCCCCTCTGGCAACCAGTTAGTTCTATTTATAGGTCTATTTCTACTCTTTGTTCCTTTTTTGTAGACACCATATTTAACTGCAATCATATGGTATTTGTCTTTCTCTGACTTATTTCACTTAATACCCTCGAGGACCATCTGTATTGTGGCTATATACACACACTACATTTTCTTTAGCCATTAATCTATCCATGGACATTTGGGTTGCTTCCCTATCTTGGCTATTGTAAATAATGCTGCAACAAACAGAGAGGCACCTGTATCTTTTCAAATTAGTCTTTTCTTTTCTCTGGGTAAATACCTAACAGTGGAATTAATGGATCCTATGGTGTTTTTATTTTCAATTTTTTGAGGAACCTCCATACTGTTTTTCCACAGTCACTGCACCAGTATAGATCCCCACCAGCAGTGCACAAGGGCTCCTTTTTCTACCTATTCTAACCAACAGTTGCTCATTCTTGCCTTTTTGATTCTAGCCATTATGACAGGTATAAGGTGATACTCCATTGTGGTTTTGATTTACATTTCCCTGATGATGAGTGATGTTGAGCATCATTTCATGCGTCTGTTGCCATCTGTATGTCTTCTATGGAGACATGTTTCTTCATATTCTCCATTTTTAATCATATTATTTTTTGTGCCAAGTATATAAGTTCTCTTTATATTTTGGATATTAACCCTTATCAGGTATATCATTTGCAAATACCATTGCAAAAATTTCTGTTTTGTTGGTTTCCTTTGCTGTGCACAATAATTTTATTTTGATATAGTCCCAGTAGTTTATTTTTGTTTTTGTTTCCCTTGCCTTAGCACATTTTTCTAGTATGTCTCCTAAGACCAATGTCAAAAAGATAACTGCCTATGTTTTCTTCTAGGACTTTCATGGTCTCAAGTCTCACATTTAGGTCTTTAATTG